CTCTCGAGTAAGTACACAAAGGCACGAAATACACGATCTATGCATGGGTTCAATGCGGCTTACTGCTAGAACAGTGTGAACAGGAGGCCAATGCACGCTTAAACTCAGGAGTAAGCAAGTATATAGGATTGGAGCCTAAGACTCTCTTCTGGTCGCGTCTTGGCTACTTCAACCCTGTAGTGCGCACTATCTTCTGGAGGGCAAAGAGAAGGGAGAGATGCCTTATGTGTTTTTTAAGTTATTTTCACCGGCGGCTCCTTTCTTTTATTTTTATATTTTAAAGATCCTCCATACCACAAAGGGAGGCCTCCCAGTCTAACGTCTAAATGCTACGCCGCAAATAAACCGTGCGCGCTTTTGTGCCTTGCAAGCGGACCTTCTAAACCAAAGAGGCGCCTCTTTGCTTTGTTCCGTTGGCGACCTCTGCATTATTATTCCTGTGCAAAAATGGCTACCAGGCCCCTTTGTTTGCACACAGCTCTGTTACAGTTGGAGAGCGAGAGAGGGAGGGGAGGGGGAAGGAGCCAACGAGAGAAGGCAGGCAGGCAGGCGGGCGGGCAGCCCCTATGCGGCGGGTAGGCTGCTGTATCATCCACGTCGCCTTGCAAATAGCTTCAGCAAAGCGTATCCCCCACTGACCCCGTCGAGTGGTGTCCTATCCGACGGACGTTGCTTAGCTACAGGGTTTACTCCAAGCCAATGAGGAAGGAGACCCGGGAAAGATGCAGCGCCTCGTTTCTTTACCTAAGTGTGGGAGTATCAAAGCCCATCAAAGCACAGGAGGAAGATCAGGGAACGGACTGAAGGCCCCTCTCCTCCCATTCGGAGGGGCTGATACCTGCGAATAAAAATGGGGAGCTAAATCTAGTCTAAATGTTTGCTCCTCGCTCTGCCTTCCTCCCCTGCTTAGAACAGCCGGAGCCCTCGAATCGCCTCCGAATCGACGGGCAGGAGGCTACTACGGATCCGCGCTGGCTGCTCCTTGGGTGTCAAAACCTTAGGTTCAGTCCCATACCCACTTCTTACCCGGGAGTAAGTACCACGAAATGGTACTTATTTCTGAGTAGGAATGCCTAGTCAAGGAGGGTGGGGGTGGATGCCGTTCTGAAGAGGAAAACAAATGGTGACTTATGTGACTTGGTGACTTATGGGGCCGATACTAAGCAAGTTCACTTAGAAGTCAACCCAGCTGATTTCACCCACTATTACTTTCCAGAAAGCTCTCTTAGGATTGCACCCCTAAAGAGAGAACTGGGGGTGGGGGGGGCCTGTGCCTCTGATTCTCAGGCTCTCTCGCGCACACATTCACACCCACGCCGATCTTCCCTTGTCGCCATAGCCGCTTTCTGCCCACATGCAATACCACAATAAGCCACAATCGAGTTTACCACTTTGGGATGCAGTGGGTAAGTCTAAATTAAAAGCGAAGGCGCGCCACGCAGCAAAATCAAGGGCAAAAGAGGAAGACTATTTCAAAATTTAGACTTTGTTTCCCCTTAAGAAGGAAGAAGGGAGTTTGTTAGGGTAGCCTCGTCCCTATTTTTCTTTCTTTTCACCTTAACCATTGAAAAAATGGGAGGGGGATAATGTTGGCGTCCTCCAAAAGCACATTCTTGGCGTTGGCCAGGAATCTGGCGCAGCTAAAATGAAGATGAGTTACATTTAAAGGCAAGTCCCCGCAACCTTCCTCCTGATGTTCTTGAAAAGACATGGGCTTAGATGCTCCTGGGGAGAAGGACTGTTGACTCTTTGTAAAAGGGGTGCGGGGGGGGAGAGAGAAATATTCTTGGACCCGCTTACAGCACATTGTATTTGATTCAGATAACACCCCAGCAATTCAGGAAGCTAAACGGAGCAAGATTTATGTTAGGTGTGGAAACGGGTTGTATATCATTTATGACGATCCGAAATGCGCGCGAAAGCCAAAGGGATGTTGTGCCAGAAACGGCTTTGAGCTTAAAGCAGAGCCATTAAAATCCGTGGGAGAGTTGCCATTGACTTCTATGAAGAGTCCCTCCTCTCCTCCATCTCTCGCTCTCGGGCACGGATCCCACAGCTGTTTACTTGGAAGTAAGCGCCAATTTAATCAATGGGGCTTTCTGACCAAGTAATTTGCTTAGCCTCGGCGTGTTCCTCCGGGGCTGGCCTCCTGAGTCAAGGGGGGGAAAGCCAGAAATAGAGCCAAGGGGAGACGTCGCTGTCCAGTAATTGGGTTATGCTTTAAAGGGAGGCCTATGCCAATTCTAACAATATACTCCTACACAAGCCCTGAAATGTATGATTTCGAGACTCACTCATGAAGGCTATAATGTATATATGTATAGCACAGTCTGTTCAAATCCCCATTGAGAGGGTGCCAGTTGAGTGCTATGAATATTTTGAGAAAGGCTATCCCAATTTTTCTACGTATGTACAGACTGTGTGTGTGTTAGTTTATAATCCCTCCCAGCGATGCTTATAAATTATCGTGCCCCCTTTACTTGACTTTAAGAGGGAATAATAATGCAAGCCAGCCAAGGCACCATTTGAAGTCGAGCCCATAAAACATTAAGCTGTGGATAACACGTTGGGCCTCCCAGTCCCGCAGACTCAGCGGATGCCTTCTGAGTGACACACTAGACCATAAAGGGCCCACAGGGTTGGACTCTTTGTGCATTGTTTTGATTTATAGTAGTGTGTGAAATATGCCCTCACATGAAGAACATAAAAATAAAATCTACATGCACTATTTATTTATCAATTCAGTTGCCGGGAATTCCCTGGAAGACATATTAGAAAATCATTTTGTTGTTGTTGTAGCAGCTCACCAGTTGTGCGTATTATTAGTTATTGTATTGTGATTATTATTATTTTTTTAATGCTGGAAGAAACAGAAACTGCCATAGAAAGCCACTTTAGATCTGGAACTGGTTAAAATATTTCTTCATTTGAAGCTGTTTATTCTGTTTTGTTTACAGATCTACAACACTTGGGTAAAAGTGAGATTTAACAAAACGATACATTCCCCCCTCTTCTCTCAGTTAACAACATGGTATTTTAAAAAAAGATAACGAGGTGAATATTATATATATATATATATACATATGTTATACTATATATATCCATATCCATCCTCATTGTCTAGACAGACACAAATGTAGGAGTAAAAACCTCTCACACACAAAAAGAATTGCAGTAGTTGCCATCATAGGACGTGGAGAGATGGAGCTGCATTATTAGTCAAACTGAAAAGTGAGGTTTTGCTACTGTTCTGTGGGACTTCAAAAGATCTGAATCTTAACTGAGTGCTTTTTAAAGCGATAAGGGATGCTTCCTTCTGAATTAATGGGCATGTATCGCTTCTAACGTGTACCTAATGCCACTTTAATGTTGAGAAAAGCTTTATAAAACCCAGTAAGAGATTAAATGCAACATACAAATAAAGAGGAAGAGTGGGGCGGGGAGGGGAGATGTTTGTGTTTCCTGTCCCTTCTAGGCTTGGGGCAGAAACATTAGTTTACACAAGGATTGTACCAATGTCTGCTACAGAAGACTATATTAAATATTGATAGACCTAATTTCCTATCTCGAAAGCCATTCTGAGCATTTCAGAAGGACTTCGTCTCCTAAACCCTACCGCAGTCTTTCCTTTGTAGATACTTGATTGTCAATATTTCATTCAAAGTTTCTTCTTCTTCTTCTTCTTCTTCTTCTTCTTCTTCTTCTTCTTCTTCCCTCCCCTCCCTGTTCAGCAAAAGTAAGTTTGCGTTTCCAGTGACTTGTACAAAATTGATTTATGGTTAGCATAAATATCATATCATATAAATAATAATAATAATAACAATAATAATAACAAAAATAATAACTGAAACAACAGTTTTAGCCTGAATTGCTAAGAAAATCCTAATTACATCAACACTATTATATTGCTCCTAAATGTCAGTCTGAAGGTGTTGCATATTTTAGACTTTAAAATTATAAACAAGTAACCAGACGAAATGGTGTGTGCAACAGATAGGAAGGAACCAATTTATGTATGCAGAAGTTGGTCAAAGACCAAACAGTCAACTGGCCACTATATAGCAGAATATAACAATATATGAGATATAAGGTAGCTTTTAATGCTAAGTAAAACCATACCAAACAATCTGAAATAAATAAACATGTGATATATATAGATAGATATATATTAAAATAAAAAATGTATCGGCTCTTTTGTGTAATGTTTCAGTTTTTGTATTAATCTATGACTTACAATTTGCTTAATCCTTACATAAACTACAAACACCAGCCACTGTTACAACTGTTCAAAACTACTCTTTCTATTTCAGACCAAATATACTAAATAGGTGAAAATGTATAGTCACCAAAGACCTGAATCAATCTTCCCAAGTTAAGGGGGAAAGGGGGTGTGAAGAAACTCTACAAATATCCACATAAATACATTGAAGACCAGGATTAAATAATCAATGATACAAAAAAAAGAGTTCCTCTTAAAATAATAAATACATCTTATTTAAGTCCAAAGCAATCTTTCACATTACTGGAGAAAAAAATCTTATAAATTATAACTCTCGAAATAAGTCTCCGTTTTGGTCCCAAATGTTGTAAACGCCTCATCAGGACTCACTTTCGCCGAGTTCTAATGGATTTCTACAACTTACCTTCCAGTACATCGTTACCAATTATTACTCCCTTGAGGGAATGTTTAGATTTATTTATTTTTGTTAAGGATATTGCACTGCCATGCTTTTAAACGGCTAAAAAACATTTAAGAGGACAACGAGGGGTGGGGGATGGGGCGGAAATAATTTTCATGGACTCGGTCGCCAAAGAAAACAAGAAATAGGTAGCTTCTACCAGGGACACACAAAAAAACCCACTGTAATACTCCAAAGTAATACTGCAACGTCAGGGGCAAAGTGAGGTAATTTAAACGCGAATGCTTTTCAATCTCTCTCTCTCGCTTTCTCTCTTTCTCTCTCTCTTTCTTTCTTTCTTTCTGAACGCGTTCCAGTCTACTACAGATGCGTCAGTTTGGGCGCCTCCTGAATCCTTCCCTGAGATGTGTGGTGAGAAGTGAGATCTGTGTACGTGGGATGGGGGTCACAAGGTCCATGGTGATGGTTGCCTGGGATCTGAGCAGCGCAGCTGTAGTCCACGCTGGCAGATGAAGGATGGGAGAGGTGGCCGATGTTGAACATGGGGCCAGAGGCTGGCATGGAATCAACGAAGTTCCCTCCGACATAGACGGGGCTGCCCTGCAAATTGGGGTTGGCGAAGCCGCCGTTGCTTTGCATGGCGTGATGGTCGTACTCGGCGCCTGGGTATCTCTTCTGCTGGGGCAAGCAGCTGCTGAGAGGCGCCGTGTAAGCCGCCAGCCCGTACATGTTTTGCTGCGATTTGGCAAAGGACGTCGGCGACGGGGCGTCGTAGCTCAAGCTGTTGACGGTGGGCAGCTGGCTGGAGTATCCTACATGGTTGGGCCCGCTCAAAGGCGGGCTCCGGTCTGGGGACTGCCCTACCGGGGAGTGCATAATTCCTTTCGCTTTTTGGTCTTTTTTGTACTTCATCCTCCGGTTCTGGAACCAGATTTTGATCTGGCGCTCCGTCAGGTTCAGCAGGTTGGCCATCTCCACCCGGCGAGGGCGGCACAGATAGCGGTTGAAGTGGAACTCCTTCTCCAGCTCCACTAGCTGCGCGCTGGTATAGGCGGTGCGGACCCGCTTGGAAGCCGGGCCCGGGGGGCTTTTGTCCTCGCAGTTCTCTCCTGTCCAAAAAGGAGAGAAAGAAGAAAGAGAGGAGGTTGGCTGGCTGGCTGGCTAATTTACAAAGCCTGAGAGTATTAACATTGCAGCGGCCGGGGGAGGGAGGGGAAATGCTTTGGCACTCTGGGGCAGCAGAGGACTAGGTGCCAATTTTGCGGGGCGCGGAGGGAAAGAGGCGCACAAATCGCTATTATCGCGCAGTTCCCACACTGCGGGAGACCTGCCCGAATTGGTATTATCCTCTATTTGTGGAACATCTTTAGCTGCTCACGATCTTCTTTTTCCTGAAGGTCCCTCTCCTCCTGAAATCCTAACCCACCCACACCCCACCATTCCACACTTTCCCCCAAAGTATTAAATCTGGACATTCAAAGCGAACTGAAACAGGACGGGGAAAGGACCGGGATATGTCCTCCCCGTGCACAATTGCCATTAATTAGCGAGGGTCGCTGCCTCATATCCTCACGGGAGAGGCGTGATTTAGGGACAGGGTGATCCAAACGACACTTTCCCCCAAATCCTTCGATTTCATTGGATTTTATTTTATTTTCTTGAGACGGGCGGTGCTACAGCCGAGGTTTTCAGCTGCGGACAGCACTCCCTCCCTCTGTCGCCCAGTGTCTACAATGAGAATGGGGTTCGATCTCCCAACTCCGGGGTTCTCAGAGGGTTAGGAAAGTTACAGTTCCAGATGAGAGAGTTGTAAATCATCTAACTTAATTGGAAGAATCGATCGATCCCTGACAGAGCCCAGGAAGGTTCTCTTGGCTGGTCCCAAACAGGAGCAAGGCCCAGGCCTCCAAACTTGGAAGACAATGGAGCCGCCGCCGCCGCCTCTGGTACAGCTAACAAGAGGAAATCAGGCGCGTTTATTAGCTCCGAGGCGGTGCTCTAACTAGCAGGACAGAAGAGTGGGGAATCCCATAGGAAGAGCGTCGGGCGCGCGGGGTGGGGGAGAATCCGGGTTTACAACTCTCCACGCTCCCCTTCCCCAGGAAAGTTGGCAGCAGCCATTTCAAGACAAGGGAGAAGGTCGCAGTGGTTGGATCTGCGACCACGTCAGCGTGTCTGCATAATAAACACATGTTTTGTTAGACTGCGTGTTTGCATTTTGTACACACCTTTGACATTGCTCGGGTTTAGACAGTCTGTAAACTTTCTGCATGCCAAATAAGGGGAGGAATGCTTGGGTCTCCACCTTGTCACCACCAAGATGGTTTCAGAGGACAGAGTCGCCAAAAGCAGGCCACACACGCTTGGGGACAGAAGGTCTCAGAACGTGATGGACCGCTACTGTTTATTTGTGATGGGGGAGTTATAACTGATTTGATACTTTTATTGCTTTATTGTGTTTCTTCTAAATCGCTCTGTCGTTTTTTTAGAATGAAGAGCGGTTTAAACGCTAAGTAAGTAAGTAAAGTAAGTAAGTAAGTAAGGGACAGAGGGAGGGTGGTCGGTCCACTCTGGATCTGGAGAAGAGACCGGTCTGCTAGAATAAAGACGGGGATTTATTGGTTCATTGTTTCCTCCTCCCTTTTGGGTAACGATAGCTTTTGCGTCATTACAGGCTTTATAGATTCCCCTTCTGAAAAGGAAGGGTTGTCGTGGAATCTGATGTAAAGCACCATGGATAAGTTGCAAAATGGTGGGAAATGTGGGAAGAAGGAAGCTCTATGGTCTGTGGATGACTGCAATGTGCCAGAAGAAAGCTGGACACTTGGAATGCAAATTGGTGATATTGTATGTTGCATCGATTTTCTTTTTTGTGTGTGTGTTGTGCATTTGCATTTTGTACACTTTTTGGATATTTCTTATGTTTAGCGATTTTTAAAGTTCTTAAACAAATGACACTTTCAATAAAGAAGACACCCCTTAAAATAAGACTTCTAGCAATGCATTTTGCAGTGGGGATCCTTGCGAGCCTAAACTTTGAAATGACAAAAGAGCGGGAGTTCCTCAAATTCCATTCCCCGCCCTTGCACTTTTATTTAATTTTCCTCTTCCTACCCCAGACTAAAATCCTTACTGAAAACCAATTCCCATCTATTTAAATGAGACTTTACCCCTTAAATGCACTTGGGTAACTAACCTCTTTGAGAAGAGGCAAGGGAAGGGCAATATTAAAGGAGGAAATCTTTAGGCTGGTGCAATTTCTATATGAAATCATCAATGTAGGCTTTGAAGTCGCACAGAATTCGCCCTCTGGCAGAATGTTCAAATGACAGCTGGAGGGGGGAGGAAATAAATGTTGCCAAGACAAGTCATTCCATTTACATGGCTCTCCCAAAGACCAGCAAGATGTCTCCAACTCACTTGTATCTTGCAGGGCTGGGAGAGTCAGATAAACGTCTCAGCCTGGTCTCTGATGTTCTAGATGGGTCTCATACCTTCAATATTGGGGGGGCTGGGAGTTAAAAGGGGGGACTGGGTACACCCATATTAATGACTACTAGCCATGAAGGTTCTGCACCACCTCCAAGTTCAGGAAGTTTGCCAATTATTGGGTAAGGTGGCGAAAGAAGGCTTTTGCTGCTCTGTGCTGCTTGGAGGCTTCCCATTGTCATTGGTTGAGACACTGCAGGATGCAACATGCTGGACTAGATGGGCCTTTGGTGTGCTGGTGGAGGGGAAGGGGATTAGATTCATAGATCCATAGAGTTGGAAGGCACCCTGAGAATCATCTAGGCCAGGGTTTCCCAAACTTGGGTCTCCAGCCATCATCCCTAACTAGCAAGACCAGGGATGACCAGTGGTCAGTGATGATCCCTGCAATGCAGGAATATGCAGCTGTCCTATATACGGATTGAACTTGCAACCTTGGCATTATCAGCACCATGATCACACCAACTGAACTATCCAGGCTTGGCTTTTGTTGTTACTGTTTTCAGGGTTGTTGTTTTTTTGATGTATTTTTTGTTTTTTACGTTGTTGTTTTTAGCTTGTGAACTGCCCAGAGCTCTGCAGGTGACCAGTTGGGTCCATCCAACCCAAACCCAGACCACTGGGGTCAATCCACTTCATAGCATTGTCTATAGGAGCAAACACCTAAGGGCCAATGTCCCTTTGCCTCCCTCCTCAATAAAATATTTGAGGGGGCTGCCTCCTCAAGTTGATGGACATTGCCATTCAAATGGTGTGTGTGCGCACCGCACCTTGTGAATGATTATGCAGGGTGGGGCTTACCTGGGTGTTTCCCCCCTCCCGCCCCAATATTTTATTCACGTTGGCACCCCTGAAATTGCCTAAACCCTGATTGGCAGCGGCTCTGCATAGCATCACAGAGCGAGGCACTCGGGAATCGAACCTGCGACCTTCCGCATGCAAAGCGGAGCTACAGCCCCTCGCTTGGCAGGACTCCTCCTGCTGCTGCTCTCTCTTTCCTGCCTCTTGCTCTCTGATTCGCGATGTGTCTGGACTGGAGCAACCAAGGGAAGCCCACTTGAAAGTCACAAAGGGCCTTGCTGCTCCCCAGGAGGTGGAGCTGGACTGGGTACCTGCGGGGGCGCAGCTGCTCTTCTGCTTGGAGTTCTGGCGGGACTCCTTCATCCACGGGAAGATCTGCTTGCTAATAGTGGCCGCCGAGCCGCCCGAGGCGTTGGCTCCGCCTTTGCCCTTTTTGGCGGGAACCGAGTGGGCGGGGTTGCTGCTGGGCGGCGAGGGCGACGGCAGCGCGGGGGGCGGAGCCTGTTGCTGAGGCGGCGGTTGCTGCTGCTGCTGCTGCTGCTGTTGCTCGGCTAGGCCCGGCGGCTGCTGAGGGCCTCCCTGGGCGCCTCCGGCGGGGCGCATACAGCTGCTGCTCAGCTCGGCGCTCTTGTGGGCCGGAGGCGCCCGGATGGCGGCGGCGGCGGCTCCTTGGAGCGAGCAGGCCGAGCCTGGGTAGTCGGTGTCCAGGGCGGGCTGGGCGTAGGGCTGAGGAGGGCCCGGCGGGTAGCCGTAGGCGTCCGCTTTGCTGTAGCCGCCGTAGGCCCCGAAGAGGCCCGCGTTGTCGTAGTAGGCGGCCTTCTGCATGGTGGGCTCCGCCGTTGCCAAGGCCTCGGCAGCCCGCTCAAATAACATGGGCCGCCGCCCACCCCGTCACGCGGCCTGGCCTCCCTAGCGCCACGGGCCTCGGCCAGGCGCTGCCCCAGAAGCCACCTGGAAGAGAGAAGCGGGATGGGGGCGGGTCGCACAGACAAGAGAGAAACGAGACAACCGTCAGTGAGGGAGCGGGGAGGGCGCGCGCCTGAGGGGAAGAGAGGGGAAAGCGGGAGGTGGTTTCCTCACACGTTGGCAACTACCTAGGGGGGCAAAGGGCCCAGGAACAGCTGCCCTCTTATACAAACACGCACCCCATTGTAGTTTCACATACACACACACACATTTCCCATTCCAAATTCACCTTCACAACACACACAGACACTCCATTCCAGTTTCACCTTCTCACACTCCTTTCCAGTTTCGCCATCACACACCACACAAGCTCTTCCGATTTCACCTTCACACCACACGCACAAACACATGCCAGTCATATGTTCACAAGGCTACCTCACAAAACACTTCCGTGGAGTCATTTGGCACGCCTCTCACAAGTCTTATTAATTGTTTATTAATCAAATTAATACACTGCCCTCCTGCAAGATCTCAGGGCGGCTCACAGAATAAAATACAAGATAAAATGCGAGTAAATAATTAAACCAAGACATCAAAACAATAACTCCGCCTTTCCATAGACATATTTAAAAGGCTGTGGAATATTAATCAGCCAAGGACCTGGTTGAAGAGGAGCGTTTTAGCCTGGCGCCTCAAAATATGTAATGAAGGCACCAGGCGAATCTCCCTGGGGAGAGCCTTCCACAAACCAGGAACCACTACAGATTCTCTTCATACGTTCATGATCTATACTAGGGCCAAGCGCACAGGCTCGGACACGTTCTGATCATATGGAACTCTTGACCGCGCCATGAAAATCACACACACGTGTACACTTGGATGGAATCCAGAGGCAATCCGTGCACCCCCTCGCCCCTTCTCAAGCGTGCACAAAACGGACAAAACCAGAGGGCTCTGCGAAGGCAGTCACATGGTGCTGTATCGGAACAGGTGCAAACTTATTTATAATGCTCACAAAAACAGTGGTCCAGCTGTGTTCTGAGATTCGAGCGATCTCCCCAACAGAGGGGGAAAGTTGCTTTGTCGCACACATGCATACACACGATCTTCGTACCCGTTCTCCCTTGCCAGTAAGGGTCCATAGGAACCAACTCCTAGGTGCCGAGGAGGTCCCTTCAGCCCCCCAGTAAAATATTTGAGGGAGTCAGCCCTCCTCCCAAAGTTGATAGACATTGTCATTTAAACAGTGTATGCGCGCCATGTCATGTGATCAATTATGTGGGTCGGGGTTTACCTGCGGCCCCCTCCCCATATTTTATTCAAGTTGGCATCCCTGTTTCCAGGGATCTGAAGAGTGGTTCGGCTCTAGCGTAGCGCCCTAGAAAAGCATTTTGTTGTGGCAGGAAATGCGTAAGGCCAGGGAAGTAGCATAACTCTGCACAGAACGGTAGCCTTTATATTTCTTCCCTGCACACAGTCCCCATCCCCCACGGTTTCTTTCACACATGCACCACGTGGTAAACAACCCTCATACAGTATCCTTGCATCGCCTCTTCCGCTTGGTCCCTTGTCGGAAATCCTGCCCAGCCCAGACTATCATATGACTCCCCCTCTCCCTCATCACTGCTCCTCCCTCTCTCCTAGCAAGAAAGTAACTGGGTGCCCTCTCCTGCCAATTCCCACGGACGGTTTTTGCACGCTCTCCAATACAGTATAGTGCATTTCACCATTGGCCTCGCTTACGTACAACCACTCATCTCTCCCTTCTCTCTTCCAAGAACGCATTCCAGAACAATTAGCAATGCACCCCGCTCTTAAACACAGTTAACCGGGGTGCAAGATCCAGTGGAATCAATGGTTTTCTTCTCTTCCAGGTATAGGTTTCGAGAATCGGGTGTAAAAAAATGAGTGGTCCAGAGCCACAGTGGCATGGGTTTTGAACTCTTGCACCTTGATGGAGAGCACAGGCAGCTGGAAGTGTACAACTCTGAAATAAATTGTACCGGCCTCCAACTAACAGTGTAGGGGGTGGGTGACTCTACAACTAAAGGGAATGCCCAAACCAAGCCGAATACAGTAATGGATAAACGGGTCTCTGACGAGTTAGGAAGGCATAGATCCTTCTGTACAATGTTCCCTTTGTCCAGCTAGGGTGAGGAGGAGTGAAATGTTTACCCCTGATTTCCCAAAAACAGAGTGTTAAAGGATGGCTTTTCATAACTTTATTTTACTATTACAATAAACTGATGTTATTCCCAATGTAATGGGTGTGGATGTTTGTTTTTTAAAGGAACAGGTATTTTGCAAAGAAGGAAGAATTATCATTTAGCTTGGCGTGCTAAATTACCTTGGATCAGCTGTTACAAAAATAAGTTTGTTCAAGTGATTTCATTTCTAGCCTTCAAATTCTTACTGCTTTTGCATATATATTTTTACGGTGCTCGAAAACCAAACACTTCTACAATATAATTTTCTTCTACCATATTATTATATATCTCTTTATTTTCCCGGAGGCATTTTTTATGTGATCTACATTCGATCCCTGTGCCATTTTGGTGTAAATATTAACCAACATTTTGTTGTTGTTCCTTTTTTGTCTCTTCACTCCCCCACCCTTGGGGTTTTATTTTTTCCTCAAGTCACGCATGCGCGCGACTATTTGTGAGCCAGGAGTGACATGATGGATTGAACCAGAACTGGAACCTGAAAAACCAGAGAAAATTCCATCTCTATTGTAAATCCTGTCTCTTGGTGTTTTGCTTTGTTTTTCCTGGGAAGATTTCTACGAAGTTAAAGTGTAACTAAGGGCATTCAATAACTTTCATTTGCAATATAAAGAAGAAATACATAGGTCAGCTACCTTAGCTCCTAGTCTTTAGAGATATTTCAACCAAGGTTTCTTGCAGATTGTTTTGACGCAAAAGCTATCTAAAGTAGAGAGAAGCGATTTCCAGGGCAGGGTTTTTCGCTGCAAAGGTCTCTTGTTTGTTTACTACCATGCAGGAAAGATTCCTGGTTGGGGAAATCCCTTATTATTGTATTATGTAGCATTAGATCTCCACTATTTCCTGTATATAAAACCTGCATTTTGTGGGTGTTGGAAGAAGGGATTGTTCTTCAATTATGGGGAAAGACCACTTTCCCCCCCTTATTTTCTAGATTCTGATGAGTGTGCTTAGACATATCTGTGGCCCCAAATATAAAAATATGTGTGCGGTGCTCAGAGTTATGGGCTTAGACTGGAAAAACTTGGGTTCGTTTCTCCATTAAACCCAGAAGCACCCTGGGTAACTTGGGCCAGCCACTATATCTCAAACTAAGCTACTTTATAGGGAAATTCTGGAGATAAAATGGATTGGGGAATGTATGGAGACCCAAGCTTTTAGGAGCAGAATTCAATAGATAAATAGATAACTGCTTATCAGTGTATAGTTTGGATACCTTGTATGAAGCATACAGTATGTTTTTAATAGGCCAGTCTGTTGAATTTACATCTGCGCTTAGAACTGAGATGTCTAGGAAATATTTTCTGAAACTCCTAATTTCCAAAGATGAAAAGTGTCATTTGCAATTAGTGATCATTGGGTTCCTAGCACATCACTTATAAATGTACTCCTCAGAGATAAGACCGAATTAATTCAAATTAAATTTATTCACAAGTAAGTGATAAACAGTCCAATCCCATCCTTGTTTTATTTAGAATCTCTACTGAGTTTGTATGGGACTTCCCCCTAACAGTTAAAGTATGCACTGAATTGCATCTTTTAAGATCACAAGCAGCAAGTAGTTGTCAGCTCCAAATGCTGTCTGAAACGCTACCCCTCAAGCAAGTTTGCTAAAGGATGCAATTCATAAGCCTTTGAGCCTGAAGGCACAATTTCCAATTATTTAATTGTGTGGTTACAGCTTTCAACCCCTGCATTTTTGGTGCCCAAATAATCCTATGAAATTAAAATCTCTGTGGGAGCTGACTGAGTGCTGGTGATCTGGATGTTTACATCCGAATAAATCAGCTTATAATCACAAAATGTAGTGTTTTGATAATGACACCAGACAAGCTGATGTCTGTCACTAGCAGCCTCCCCCAAACAGTTTTGCATTGTTTGTATTTATAGGATATCTTATTTTTCACCTTATATGTTTTCTGATTCCCCAATAATCATTTATGGATGTCATAGCTACAACTTAATTTATCACACAACATATTTATCATAAAACATTCCTAATTACTATGTTTTCTCATCTTTGTCATAATCTACTACCCTTACTTTAACCTACAAAACATTCCAGGTGCCTGCATTTTAAATTGGAGAACAATAGTTGGGTGGGTTGGTTGGTTTGGACACATTTTGGTTCTTTCAGTTAGGTTCCTTACAGTGTAATCCTATACATGTCAGCTCAGAGGAAAGACCTTTTTAGGATAAATGATAAATGGTTCCTAGGTAAGGCAGTATTAATTTCAGCCTAAGAGTGGTGATTTTTTTTTTAAAAAGGCAACTTTAAATAAAATACAATTTAGGACATATTCCATATATCCATTCCACCTCCTTCAGAAATCTAAAATATAGTGAGCACTTCTAGAAGGGGTAGCAGTGTTAGTCTATTACAACAAAAACATCAAAGTCTCGTGGGACTTTTCAGGCTGACACATTTATTGTGGCATAAGCTTTCTTGGTCTTGAAGTCCCCTTCATCAGATGCATGAAGTATTAGCCTCAAACACTGGAAGAAATTTATATCTATAAACACATACGGTTTGTTGCAAAATGCCATGAAATACAAGAAGGATACGGATTTTTTAATTTTTAACAAAGATGAAGAAAGACCAATAAGGAGTTACATGATTTCCTTCCATGTATCTAATCACGTTGAATCACTTATTTATTCACGAATGATCATCTATAATCAGAAAGTTCAACCCTCAGCCATTTACAAATTCACTGGTAGTCTGCTCTGAATTGTTTTTGT